TTGTATTCAAATAACCATGGTTAAACACAATGTGGCTTATAATGTGTGAAATTATCCCAGAGAATAGGGCGAGATGCCACTGCTATTTGAAAAGAAACGTTTGTTCTGGATCTTGATTTAAATAATTTCTTTTCTGCACAAACTTTTTGCATTGAAGGTACTTGAATGTGTACAGGAAATACAACGATCTCTTGAATAACAATGCCGACAAAGACGTGACTGAATTTTTAAGCAAAAGACACGAGCTGGAAGATTTTGTGGAGGTATTGCTTTTTGTTGTGTGAGAAGTGCATTTTCATGTAAACCTAGGAACAGCCTTTCCTAAAAGGGCACTTGTAGGAAAATGGATATACAGGTAATCCTCAACTTATGGCCACAATGGAGCCTTAAATTTATGTTGTTAAGTGGGACATTTGTTAAGTGAGTTTAACCCCACTTCACCACCTTTTTCTTGCCTCCGTTGTTAAGTAAAGCCCTGCGGTTGATAAGTTAGATACCAGTTGTTAATTGGGCTTCTCCATGTACTTTGCTTGCCGGAAGGTCGCAAAAGGGGATCACATGACCGTGGGCCACTGCAACTTGTCATAAATACGAGTCAGTTGACGAGCATCTGAATTTGGATCACGTGGCCATGGGGATGCTGCAAAGATCGTAACTCTGAAAAACGGTCGCAAGTCACTTTTTTCAGGGCCGTGGTAACTTTGAACAGTCTGCTCAGAGTTTTGCAATGTAAATTCAGTGCCAGAAAAGTAAACACAGATGGCTGATGCTTCATTTAACTTCTTTATAAACACATCAAGTAAATTTTACCAACCAGTTGTAGATTTCTCCAACAAGGAGCAAACTCAAACAGAAGCAGACATGTTACAGGTTCAGAGCGGCAATCCAGGAGCTCAGAAACAGACCTCAGTTTCACTTTCGTTCAGCAGGCAAGCAAGACACACAGCAGAGGAGAGAAGAAGTTTCATTTTCAATAGACAGACTCAGAGCTTAACATAGCTGCAGAGTTTAATATAGAGCCACACCTAGGCTATTTCTAGTTTCAGTTTCCAAACAGTCCTAATTGGCTGACTTAGTTGCTGTGCCTATTCATTGGTCGACCTTGTTACCATGCTCTATTCCAGTTCATGAATATACTCTGACACGATCACTGAATGAACTGTTGTAAGTCGAGGACTATCTTTATTGTAAAAAGAAAAAGATCCATGGGAAATTCTTCTACCTTAGGGCAGCTGGATTTAACCTTTTGTAGGGTAGACAGGCAACCTGCTTTAAATACCACTGTCAGGGAGAAATATTTATGTGGACCACCTAGGAATTTCCTGAATCTGACCCTGGAATCACCATCTTCTCTTGTGTCATATCCGTCATCAGATGTTGGCGATCGTCTTGGCGATTCTATTTTTATTAAGAGCTGCATGAAAAAGGGCCGTTGAGCTTTGACCAAACCAGTCCCTTAGATTTTGAAGCCATGATGTTCTTCTCCTGCCTGGACCTTGTTTGCCTTCCATTTTTCCCTGGAGGATTAAGTGAAGGATGCCATATTTTTCTGGGTTGTCGCATCACAGGTCCAAAATATTCTAACTTTCACTTTTTTATGGTTTTGATGATTTCCCTCGGCTTTCCCAGGCGGCCTTATCGCCTCCTCATTTCTGATTTTGTCAACTGACCCTGGAATGGTGACCTAGAATTACCCCCTTATCCAATCCACCAAAGATCTTTTTAGATGCAGAATCAGCCTCTGGCACAGCATGGTTGTTGTGGTCCGCCAGTGGCCTGCTCAGCTGGCAGCAGAGTTTGACAGTGGGGAGAAACATGGGCCTATCCTGGACTCTGGGGAGGGCTCGGACGAGGGATCGGCGTGCAACATAGAGATGTGAGAGTTATGTGCAGACTCTGGAGCCCCCAGAATCTGACAGCAGCGAGGAAGAGAAACACAGGGAGCCTGTTTCCAGTGTGTGCTTGCACAGAGCTGCCAGAAGGCAAGAACAGTTAAGGCAAAGGGGCGACGTGGGAATAAGGCTTGGAGATGATTGGCCCCTCCCATAAGACATAAAGGAGGAGCAAAGGGATAGGAGCCTTTGCAGGAAGCAACTTTGTTCGTTCTTGTCGGTTTAAAATCTGAAGCTCCGTGTTTGTACTCCGTTTGGCCTTGTATAACTAATTGGCAATTTAGTTGTTGGCAGCATTTCAAGGGAGATAAAGGTGAGTGCTTATCAGCCTTATCCCAAAGGACTTTGGCAGACTTCAGTTGCACTATTCATAAACTGTTTGGGACTCATTACAGGCTGTGAATGCATACAATTCACAGCCATTGAAATAAGTGGAGGACTACCTATAATTGCACCCATGAGATTTTTAAGTGCCAGTCCAAAACAGTCATTTGTAGACTGTACTTTTCCCTTCCTCCAGCCTAATTAGATTCAAACACTGAACCTGCTTTCCCTCAGATAGACTAAAATGACCCCATAGTGGCTTTTTTTTTGTTTCTGCTGTCACACTTCCCCTTTCTTCCGTCGTCTTGCAGAAAATTGACGGCTTGACGAAATTGAAGAAAGAAATTGCTTCCTTGCACGTCACCGTTCCCTTGGCGCTCTTCTGCCTGGACGCCCTGAAGCTGAATGAAGAACTTTGTAATCGGACCCAAAGGCTGAAGGACAGATTGATTGAGTTTGAAGTTGAGGAAAACAGGAACCTTAACAAGAGGTATGGTTGAGAACAGCCTTCACCCGAGAGGACGGATCATTTCCGGCACAAGGAAAGGCCCTGTAATTGTGTGTGAAGTATATGCAGGCAGGTTCAGTCGTCGGTATCATCACATACAAAGGAATAAATATCAAATAATCTATGCAGATGGGATTCTAATACGGGCAATCCACGATTTACAACAATTGGGCACTCCATTTTAAAGAAGAGACTGGACAGTCACTTGTCTGAGACGGTATAGGTTCTCCTGCTTGAGCAGGGGGGCTGGACTAGAAGACCTCCAAGGTCCCTTCCAGATTCTATTCTATTCTATATTCTATTCCTTATTTTACTCTGTTCCTTATTCTATTCGATTCCTTGTTCTGTTCTGTTCTGTTCTATTCTATTCTATTCTATTCTATTCTATTCTATTCTATTCTATTCCTATTCCTAATCCTAATCCTAATCCTAATCCTAATCCTAATCCTAATCCTATTCTATTCTATTCTATTCTATTCTATTCTATTCCTATTCCTATTCCTATTCCTAATTCTATTCTATTCTTGTTCTATTCTATTCTATACTTATACCTGTTATCTTATAATTGCTTGACAAAATAAATAAATAAAATAAAATAAATAAAGCCAACAAGAGTGGAGGTTCGGCCTCTTTGGAGGACACTAGGTTGGAAAAGGAGGCATGGAGGGAGGGAGGGAGGAAGAGAAAGGGGAAGCAGGAGAGAGAAATTGAAAAGGGAGAGAAGAAGAAAAGGGAGGAACAGAAAAGAGAAGTTGGACAGAGGGAGGGATGGGACGGGAGAGTACGACACAATGGTTATAGCTATAATTCTTTGTATGGTGGCTGTTATAGTAACCTTTTTTTCCCCTCTTCGTGTCAAGCATTTGCAACCAGTACAATATCATTGCCGACAAAGTCAGCGAAGTTCCTTTGACCACCGAGCAGCTGGTGGAACTCACAGCCTACCTGAAAAAATCCAGCGAGGTCACCGTGTTCAAGCTGCGCCGCGAAATCAGAGAAGCCATTTACCGGCTTGAGTTCCTAATGGATTACGCTGACCTTCCCAGTATGTTTGGGAGCAGAATGTGGCCTCAGGTGCAGGGAAAGGCTTCTGGGGTAAAGCTTGGCGTTGGAACTTCTGCCCACTGGTTCTTCTTGAGAACCTTGCCTCACCCGTTCTGACCCGGCTCCCCAAACACGACAAACCCCCTGAAGTTAATGCAAAGATTCCTTTATTGGAGCGCCAGCAGCCCTGGCAAAAAGTTCCTCTCGCAGGTTAACAAGTCCGTCCATCCAGAAGATAAATAGTTGTCTGCCACATCTATTCATCTCCGCCCCACTGCCTTTTATCCCCAGAGCTAGGGTGGGTCTCTGCTAGCAGCAGCGGCTCTTCCTTCCCAAGGACCGGCCCATAGATTTCCACTGCTCTCCTCTCCTCTGCCTTCTATGCATCCGTGCGTCAGGCACTGGACCCAGCTGTTCCTCCTCTTCCTCATCAGCCACCTCCAGAGATGGAGGGTCCGGCAGCCGACAGGTCACAACATAACCTTTCTAGATGGGGTTGGAATTCGTGGTGACTAAGGAGCAGAAGCCTTTCTCTTCCCCCAACTCTCAACTTTCTTTAAGCCCTGAAAAGCAATGAAAAGGAAGATTCCGAGAACTTGGATCTGGTTGGAAGACCAACCGGATCCATCATAAATGCGAGAAGACCCTGGATTCCCCCCCTAGTGTGCCTGCTTCTGGTCTTGGGATGTTTTCTTGGTCAAATAGAAGAATGACCTCCATCCGTCTGTTTTTAATCTACTAGGTGAAGATATCAGATTAAATAGTACAGTTCTTCATTGGCCGGATGGGATCGAGGACATCTTTGATACCAGTCGGAATCAACTCATGAACAGGAGGGAACAAGTCGAGATTGCCCTGATTAAAAGGTGGGTTACAGATTACCAGAGAGCACAGGTTTCCTTTCTCCAACTGGACCTGATCCCTATTTCTCAGCTCAAGGGTGGATTTTTAATGTTATTCCCACCTGATGCTTGAGAAGTTGCGGAAAGAAAAATGAGGAAAAGCGGATATAATCAATGGGAAAGCAATGAAAATGGACCCCAAATCTTAGGGAAGCTACTGTTGAGTCAAGGGGGATCAAGCAACGCTCCCTTTTTGAAATGTAACAATTGAAACAACAGCCAGTATGATTAAGGGTTAAACCTGAAGAACGGTTGCAGGAACTGGGTATGTCTAATCTAGTGAAAAGAAGGGTTAGTGGTGACATGATAGCAGTCTTCCAATATTTGAGGGGCTGCCACAGAGAAGAGGGGGTCGACCTATTCTCCAAAGCACCTGAAGGCAAGACAAGAAGCAATGGATGGAAACTAATCAAAGAGAGAAGCAACTGAGAAATGATTCATTTCCTGACAGTGAGAACAGTCAACCAGTGGAATGGCTTGCCTTCAGAAGTTGTAAGTCTCCAACCTTCAGTATTGGAGACAACCGTTCATTTAAAATAGCATAGGGGCTCCTACTTGAGCAGAGGATTGGAATAGAAGACCTCCAAGATTCCTTCCAACTCATGGTGGTGATGATTTTAAGGATAGTAATAAAAAAGCACAACATAAGCTTTTTTTATGGTCTACGTCCAACCTGTTATTATAAAACCTCTTTAATATCCCGCCATGTGATGATGCTCGAGATGGAACGGTCCTTGAAAACCCGTTTTTCTTATTTTAATTGAGAAAGAAAATTTCAGATGTCTTTTTTAAAAATGATCTTTGCTCCGAACCAGATGCTCTGAATTTGAAGCTATCCTTGAAGGTTATAACAAGGAAGTGGAAAGTTTCCGGAAGAAGGACGTCATGACTATGGAAGAAATGAAGAATAACGTGGAAAAATTCACTGAATTATCAAGGAATTTGGACCATGCTCTTCTGGAATACGAGGTTAGCCTCCCTAGACTTCAAGAGCTAAGCTGGGATCTAAATAATTTCAGAAGGACTAATCCATGTAAATTGATAGATAGACTGTGTGGCATCAGGATGGTGTTGACCAGTGGTGGGTGGTATTTAATTTTTTTTTTACTACCGGTTCTGTGGGCGTGGCTTGGTGGGCGTGGCAGGGGAAGGATACTGCAAAATCCCCATTCCCTCCCCACCCCACTAACCTGCTTTCCAGCTCCGTTCTCCTGTGCAGGGCAACCAAAGGAGCCAATCAGCTGGGCCTCAATGGGAGGCAGAGATGGGGGTGGGGGAGTCAGAGTTGGGATTTGTTGGTTCTCTGAACTACTCAAAATCTCCAGAACTGGTCAGAACCTAGATAAGATTTCTCCACGATGATCTGTCAATGTGGTCTTTCAAGACCTATATGTTGCTTTATCATCTTTTTCCAACCCTGTGTGTATTTTAGCCCAATATCTTTTAGCTTCCACGCAGGCCCTCCATTCTTCCTGCTTCTTTAAAGTCATGCAAACCTATAATATCTGAATGACTGTCTTCATTTTAACAGACGATCAATAAGGAAGAGGAGTTACTCGAACGAGAGAAAACTCAGTTTCCTCTGCTGCAAACCATCATTTCGCACAAAATCCCGTTTGAGCAACTTTGGGTGACTGCTTACCACTTTCATGTGAAGTCTGAGGAGTGGATGAACGGTGAGGATTTGTACAGGGTGATGGGCTTCTCAAAAACACAAGGTTAAAAGAATGAAGAGGGCGTCTTCAACTTACGACCAAAATGGGGACCAGAATTTCCAGGGATAAGCAAGGAAGTTGTTAACACAGCCGCATCCAATTTTGCAGCCTTTTTTTCTTTTTTTGGTGCCACAATTGTTAATTTGGTATACCGCAGTCGTTAAATGAATCACATGGTCATTAAGTGCACCTAGCTCCCCCCCTCCCAAATGACTTTGATTGTCAGAAGATGGCTGGGACCCCAAGACACTGCAGCCATCATAAATACATGTCAACTGCCAAGCTCCTGAACTTTGATCCTGGGACCATGTCAATGTCCTGGCAGATGTAAGTGTGAGGATTGGTCATAACTTACTTTTTTCAGTGCCGCTGTAACTTCGAATGTTTGGTAAACGGATGGTTGTAACTTGTAAGTTGAGGGCCTGTATTCAGTTATCACTCGCAGGGAAGGCTAGAATAAAATGTGTTCAGTTAATAAATAAATAAATAAATAAAAGGTTGCCACCAAGAAGAGCACCAGAAGGCAGGACAAGAAAAAAAATGGATGGAAACTAATCAAGGAGAAAAGCAACCAAGAACTAAGGAGGCATTTCCTGAAACAGCGAGAACAATTAACCAGTGGAACTGCTTGCTTCCAGAAGTTGTAGATGCTCCATCACTGGAAGTGATGGACCGATTGGATAACCATTTGTCTGAAATGGTGTAGGGTTTCCTGCCTAAGCAGGGGGTTGGACTAGAAGACCTCCAAGGTCCCTTCCAACTCTGTTATCCTGTTAAAAGGATCTTAGAGAATCCTTCATGCATCTGAAAGCATGTTTCAAACTGTATAGTCTTTCCCCAATTAGGCGTTCGTTTGAAGTTGTTTCCTGCTGAAAAAAGCTGTCTAAAAAAAATCTTTCCTTGTTCTTTTTATCCTCGAGGTTGCCTTTTTCTCCAATTAGGATCCCTGCCCAAGGACCCGGCCATCTTAAAAATTATAATTGAAAGGCTATTATTCTGCTTATTTTCCAGCTCCAGCCAATCGTTTCTCGAGTGCTGCTGGAGGGGATTTAGAATCCCTGCTGCTGTCACCTTAATGTCACCTTAACGCAGCTGTCAGGTTAATGCAGAAGGTTCATTCCTAATTCATATTTTCCATGGAACTTAGAATGCGTCAAACTTAATTGGGTTTGAAAGCATCCTCCCGCTTCTAACCACCCTGCGGGCGCTTCCTTCCAACAGTTATTTTTATATTTTATTTTATTTTGCATTTCGGCATGTAGGGCCTGTCCTACAATTGAACTCGGAAGAAATCACCGAGGACGTCGCCAATATGTGGCGGACCATGTACAAATTGACCAAGACCTTTATAGACCTCCCTGGCCCTAAGCGGATGGCGGAGAATGTGAAATTTAAAATCGACAAATTCAAGCAACACCTGCCCGTCCTTTCAATTGCCTGCAATCATGGGATGAAAGACCGGCATTGGGAACAGGTCTGCTGATCTGAACAGTATCCAACGTGTGGAGTTGTTAAGATTTGTGTGTGTCTTTCTCTGTGTGTGTGTGTGTGTGTGTGTGTGTTAGAAGGAGGTAGGCTTATTCAAGAAACAGATGCTGTACAGCAGCGGTGTCAACTAAATTTTATTGAGGGTCGCATCAGGGTTGTGTTTGACCTCGGTGTGTGTATGGGGGTCCTGGCTGGGGTGGACGTGGTCAGGGTGGGCGCGGCCAACTCAACGTCACTCGTGTCTGAGGGCACCTGTGGTGACCATGTGCTAAGGCAGGACTTCCCTCAGCTCAGACTCTCCCTCATTCTCATGATAATCTTCCTTCCTTCCTTCCTTCCTTCTTTCCTTCCTTCCTTCCTTCCTTCCTTCCTTCCTTATTTCCTTCCTTGT